GGCGATTGTATCGTTGATGACTTATGCGGTTATTCCATTCTAACATTCCATAAATATCCATTGATTTGTGAGAATATATTGTATATATGGCATGTTGTGTATATATTGCATGATTGTGTAAATAAGAATTAGTTAGTATTTCATTTTTCAGTCATAGATTTAGGGCTATATAAACTGATGAACATTTTGTAAATTGATACAATTGAATATACATAAAAACCTTCAGAAATCTTACATGGTATCAAAGCTATTGTTCATTCTAGTTTCTATTTGATCGAAGTTCCTTCTTCGTTCAAAGTTTCATCTGGTTCAGAATATGCCTTCATTGAAATCGCAATCCCTCGAGCACCAGAATCACGACCCATCCCACCTGGTTTGAAATTCCTCTAATTCCCGATTGAACAACCTCCTCTGGTTCGTTGGACTCAACTTTTGGCTTACGAGGTTGAGTTCTGGTTATGGTTTTGGACTCGATCGAGTTCTCTGGTGGTCGACTCATCGGTATTCATCATGACCCATCTGAGTTTAAGTCATAGCCCATCGACCGTAACCATCTGATTCGCGAAAATCCTGGTCGTCTCCATCTGGTTTCGTGAGGTCTACTCTTTGTCTCTCTCTCTCTTGTTCGACTGGCTCATGGGGTCAATCTAATATACATAGGGACATTTGATATACATTACTTTGGTCTATTTTGGGTTTACTACACTTAAACCCCTCAGCTTTTTTGTTATTACCCTTCGGCCCTTGGTTTGGTTATTTTGTTCTATTTAGGGTTTATTGCACTTGAACCCCTTAGTTTTCTAATTACTATGATGTCTCTAGTTTTTTATGAGTGTACTTTCTGCTATCAAAAAGGCCAGTGGAAGTATCATTGTCCCAAGAAGAGATGTTTGTTTGCTTCGCCTGTGTCTGCTTCGTCTTCTCAGCAGTTTTCGATCAAGTTCTACGCTCCTCCTCAGAGTACCGTTTCGCCTCCCACCGGTTCTACTGCATCTGCTCCGGCTCCTGATCCTCACTTGGCTTCCTTGACTGCTCAGATTAGTTAGCTTCAATATACACTAATTAGTCAACTTCAGCATATATTGTCTACCTCCCAGCCATCTCGGTCTGCCTCCATTGTTTTCTCTCTTCATTCAAGTTTGCTTGGGTCTTCTTTAGAAATTTCTTCGTTTGCCTGGATTTTTGACTCTGGTGCCTCTCATCATATGATTGTACTTCTCTTTCCTTTCCTATTACTGTCAATGCTGCTAATGGGTCTAGTATGTCTGTTATATCTATTGGGTCTGTCCTACCGTCTACTATGTCTGCAATCTCTATTCCATCTATCTTATATGTTCCTTAGTTATCTGTTAGTTTATTATCTATTAGTCAACTTAATGCCACCGGTTTTGAAGTTATCTTTTCTTCTTCTATCTGTTTTGTGCAGGATCGAATGTCCAAGCATCAGATTGGGACTTGCCGTAGAGTTAGAGACATTTATGTGGTGGAGAGCTTGCATCTGCCTATGACTACCTCTCCGACTCCGACTGCCTTTTCTTCTTTTCAATTAGATTCTCTGTCAAGCCCTTTTTATTTGTGACATTCCAGATTAGGGCATTTGTTTGCTGACCGCTTACGGTCTTTAACTCAGTTAGGTATATTGGGTAAAGTTTCTCCTAATCAACTTACTGAGTGTTGGGGGTGTAAATTTGCCAAAATGACAGCCTTACCTTTCCGTAAAAGTACTTCTATATCTGATACACCATTTTCTTTAGTTCATACTGATGTCTAGGGCCCTTCTCCTGTTCTCACCAAAGGGGGCTCTGCATACTATGTGTCATTTGATGATTACTGCACCCGTTACACTTGGATTTATCTTATTACTCATAAGTCCAATTTCTATCAGATATACCGTACCTTTCAGTCTATGATTACTACTCAATTTGGGTCTACAATTAAAGTGTTACGGTCTGACTTAGGTGGAGAATATTTTAAAAATGAGTTCTGTGAGTATTTGGCCAATTTGGGTACCATTTACCAAACTTCCTATACAGATACACCTGCCCAAAATGGTTGAGCCGAGCGTAAACACCGTCATCTCCTTGAGACAGCTAGGTCTCTTCTTCTCTCTATCTTAGTTCCGGCTCTATGCTGGGGGAAGGTAGTTATTACTGCTGCTTTTTTTCTCAACCGCATGCCTACTCCCCTTCTTTATGGTCGTTCTCCTTATGAGGCTTTGTTTTTCTAAGTTCCTAATTACTCTCTCCTTTCGTGTGTTTGGGTCTGCCTATTTTGTCCTTCTTCCCCACAAAGATAAGACCAAACTTAGTGCCCGGCCTGTCCTCTGTGTCTTTTTGGGTTATAGTCCTACTCAGAAAGGCTATCGGTGTTACGACTCTGTTTCCCACCGTCTTTTTGTCTTCCGTTATGTTTCTTTTCTCGAACGTCTACCTTACTTTCAGGCCTCGTTTGGGAACAGGCTAATTTAGTAACTTTTTGGCTATTTAGCTAAAAAGGTAGGTAAAAAAACTTGTATGTTTGGGATGACTTTTTGGCTAATTACGAAAAGATGTGTAAAAAGTAGAGAGAAAAGAAAATCTTTGACTTTTTGGTATGAGTTGTGGGCTTTTTGGCTAATTTAATAACTTTGTGGCTAATTGGCTAAAAAAGTAAGTCCCCAAACGGGGCCTCAGCTTCCTCCTCTCACCGCCCCAGTTTTCAAAGAGAATTTGGTTCATATTGATCCGTTTTCTTCTAAGGTCTCGTCTGATGAGTACATCTCCATAGTTCCTCCTGAGCTTGTTCCATTTTCTCTTCCTGCTTCACCTCTGGCTGCTACTCTTTCGATTTATTCTCCTCCTCCGTTGTTAGTTTATTCTCATCGCATGGCTCCTCCTCCACCAGTTGTCTCTACCCCTGCTGCTGATCCTCTTGTTTCTAACGACTCTGATCCTACTGCACACCGATATCCTACTCGAGCGCGTCATCCTCCAAATAGATTGGGTTAATCCAATACATGTTTTTCTGCTTTTTATCGTACTTTTTTGTCTATTATTCACTCTTTTTCAGAACCTCAGTCTTACAAGGAGACCTGTCAGGATCCTCATTGGGTTCAAGCTATGGAGGATGAGTTGTCTGCTTTTCAGAAAACTAGTACTTGGGAGTTGGTTCATTTGCCTGCTAGTAAGAATATAGTTGGTTGCAAGTGGGTCTACAAAGTCAAGACTCATTCTGATAGTTCTCTTGAGCGCTACAAAACTCGTCTGGTTGCCAAATGTTTCTCACAAGAGTATGGTATTGATTATAAGGAGACCTTTGCTCCTATTGCCAAGATGACTACTATCCGTACTTTGATCTCTGTCGCTGCTGTTCGTTCTTGACTTCTTTATCAGATGGATGTTAAGAATGCTTTTCTTAATGACCATCTCGCTAAGGAGGTTTACATGCATCCTCC